TCCAAGTTTTGGGACTTCACTGAAGTCTACCTCGGAGAATAGGGCTTCTAAGAGGCCTACTCCTGGTAAAAGGCTGGCAAACCCCTGGGAAAGATGTGTTTCTGCCTTTCTTTTCCTCACTGTATAAGAGTGCCTATTAATCTTTTACTGTTTCTGTTGTTCATCGTACTTATTCATTGTCAATGTTCCCTTATTCAAAGCTCTTTCTTAAGAGTGTTGACGACTCCAACATATGATGAGTGTCTTAAAAAATATGACTAACTCACCAGAGTTAAGTGCTACCCTGAAACCCCTCTTATGGATGCTAGTAGACAAGCCATAAGCAAATATAAAAGTATAGGGGGTTTCACAAAGTCATTTCAGCAGAAGGAATTGTTTGTAAGAGATTTGCAAGAAGCTGTAGGCACGGCTAGAACAGAAAGAATGTATGGCAATTGCTGAGATAACTACTTAGGAGAAAGGACTTCCTGTTACTCTCTTTCATTTACTAAAAGACTTGCTAGATCTAGGCCTCCATGACCTTACTATTAAAGAAGGAACGGGAAGGAAAAATCTTATGGGACAATTAAGGCCTCTATAGAAATAAGGTAATGGTTAGATGGTGACAAACATTGAAACCCATTATATTTCTTAGAGATAAGCCGGAAACAAGTGCCTTTCAGGCGACTAGCTGTTGACCACCCAAGAATGAAGCCCTGCAGCAAGATTGTGTAAACTTTTGCCCTTTCAGGCGACCAGCTGGTGACCATCCAAGAACGAAGCCTTGCAGCAAGATTGTGTAACCTTTTGCCCTTTCTTATGGAGACTTTTGCTATAAAAGTTTGTTATCCTCTGCATTAAATCGCACTCAGCATCCACTCCTCTTGTGTGTGGGTTGTCTGTTTGCCATCTCCCCATCCTATTCCACTTCCTCCCCTAGGTGTCCTCCGTCGTCCCGACAGAACCCGGTCCGCTGCAAATGTCCTCTCCTGTGGTGGAAGAGAGGAACTGGTTAGAGAACACAGGCGTCACTGGAGGAATTCCGGGGTGCATGAGCTCCCACAGGTCCTGTCTGCACCACAACAAAGGTCACCTCCTCCCCCATGGCACTCACTTGCAGCCTTATCATAGCCTTCTCTCTTGTCACCTGTAGGAGAAACACCATGTGAGAGGCAGGACACAAGCAGTGCCATGAGGGCCTGGATGAACCCCTAGCCTTGACCTCATGGGAACTTTCTAGAAATGTGACCATAGAAACAGGACAGCATCAAGAGAGAGGAGTGCAACCGTTGGGAAGAGAGACCCCAGGACCTCCTGGAGTGTGACCTCAGTGGGCACCTGAGTCCCTGTGGGCCTGAGTGCTGCAATCAGTTCCCATCACCACCCTCAGGAGGGGGAATTTTGTGTCCTTCGTTTTGCAGGTGA